ATATATATATATATATATATATATCATCTGCCACATGTTCCTTTGCAGAAATATCAAGATCCACTAAGTGACCGCAGTGCTGTACCTGAAAAACCAGAAACAGCATTAGCTCCATAAGGCAAAGTTGAAAGCATTTTATTCCCAGAATGCATTGCACAGGAGTCAATTTGCTAATTTTAGCTCCTCAGCCAATGAAAGTTCAGGAGTTGTGCTCCAGATCTGAGAGGGTCTGCATCAGGTTACACAGCTGAGGCATGAACAGTGTTCGTGCAGCAGTAACGGAGTGAACAAAGAAACATTACTGCTCCTCCTGGACTGATGGAGCCTTTCATTTCACACATGTACTGTACATTTATAAAAAGAGTAATCCCTCCCTGCTTACTGACCACAGATCTGACACCATACAATGAGTGTCCACCATGTGACAGACGGTTGTGCGTCATGCCTTGCATTGGGATCCCTGTCACTGAACTTGACCTCACACATCATAACTTCAGAAACAGTAGTAAATCCATCATCTCCACCCTGACACAGGAATCTGAAGGCAAGGCAAGACCATCCTTGGGCAAAGTGTACAATTTCAAATGACCTACAGGAATGCACTCAACACTCTCCTGGTCTGTGTAAGCACCAAGCACATTATCAGCAATAAAAAAAACAAAGTTTTCTTATTTTCACTTCAACAGCTCATTAATGGTGCTACACAAGCTGCATTGCTAATTATGTAACACCATATCAGTTCCTGTCTATGAGGTTCAGTATATGCTATTCCCTCTTGGCAAGTCGAGCGTCCTGGTTAAGTAATCGGATTCACATAGCACAAGTCCACCGAAATATGGTACTACCCTCAGAGCAGAAGCCTTACATTTACTCCAACAGCTCCAAGGACCCCTCTAAAGCTAAGAAGCACACGCATCATTCAGTGGATTAGCCTTTGTAGGCTAAGGGGGAATACTGTAAAACCTGGAAATATTGTCATGCCGCACTTCCACGAAGACTTAGCCCAGCCATGAATAAAGCTCAAAGGTCGTAAAAGAGTAGACATGTGATCATTTGTTGAATTTATATTTCATGTGTACCATATATGCAGGCAAACAGATGAAGATGAATGTTTTAACAACAGACCATAATGCAGACTGATGTATGAACAATGAAGATGAAAGCTTACCAGTTGGTGACATGTGCCATGTGTTTACATCGGTGTCAGGTGTTACAGCCCCCTGAAGAGATTCAATATGTTGTTCCTAAAAGTGTCTTGTCAAAAAGTGGGGGTTCATAATCCACACCATCAACAGCCATTACTTTGAACTAGGGGTGCACCGATTGCAGTTTTCTGGCCAATCACCGATTTCTAAAAAGTCTGACCTGCCGATACCGATTTTGTTTTATAAGCGACACTGTCTGGTGTTATAAGGTCACAATGCACCTTCAGTTTTCCAATATTAATTTATTGAAAAACATACCCTTGAACAATATCCTAGAAACAATACAAACTTGTTTTAACTGGCCATGAGGTAGTGCTCTGAAATATAAATGAAGTTCAGACAATTATTGATAAAATAAATAAAAAAAAATGGTAAAATCGGTTTCTCATGCAAGTATCGTCCGATTTCCGATTTCCCAAAATTAAGGAAATCGGGGCCGATGCACCCCTACTTTGAACCCACTGAAGCCTGTTCACACTGTCCTGCTTTTAAAATGAAATGGAGTCAACCCCTACAGTACCTGCAGTATACAATGGGCTTGGGTTCTGACATCTTGAACTTTAGGGTCAGTCATCTCATGATAAAAATCGTAGCTTTTTTCTTGCTCAGACAGAAGTGTGGCCCCAAACAAAACTAACACATATCGAGTGTCACAGTCTTGGTTTATTTTTTTTAATTTCGTACAGGTTTTAAAAAAAAAAAAAAAAATTGGGGGGTTGCTACTTTGGCTATTTAGTTGTACTGATTTTTGTGCCACCATTGTTACTACATGTGCAACCCCTCACATAGCACCTGTATTTCATTAGTAATCAGCACATCTGTTGCCATTAAGCAATCACTTTTCCCAGAACAATTCTCTCTGGTTTTTCCACAAATTTCTTTGGACGGATTTGCTGCCCATCCGCTCGTCCGAACCACACAGAGACAAACGAGACAAACAACCATTCATACTCTCTCTCACTCCTCTTGTTTGCCAATTCTGGATGGGTTAAGTATTAAGTTACTATTCTCTTGTCTCCTGCATATCTTTATTTGGTTTCTGCTTGAACCCTCAATCTCCACTCGAGCCAAAGGAACAGTGTATATTTTACACCACTAATCGCACAATAATCCATATGTTGCTTTCAAGAAGTTATGTAGAATTGGAGTTTTGGAACAAGATTTTTTTTTTCCGTGTACAAGTGGATTGTTTGTTTGAATATGATGAAAAGAGAATTGTTGTTCATCTGGTTTTAAAGAGAAAAGGACATTAATTTATCAGTGCAGTACTTTGAATTAGTTGAATTGGTCAAGCAAACAAAACCAGAAGAAATGATTTAGGCTGAACTGATATCAAGAAAATTGCTCAACAGTTTAGTCAGTAACTTGAATGTATTACAAAGAGGAATGAATTAGACTACCACTGCATGTTTCCAACAAAGCATTTTCAAATGTTCAGTTTCCAATTGAGTTCATTCCATAATAATATAGTTATTATACCTTTCACGTGTTCAGCCATGAAACTCTGCAAATAATCTTTGTAGGACTGAAGTCTGCAGGATTGATCTAAATTATTTTGGTTCTGACCTGGCTGAAACATATCTTTGTATATTGAGACCTTGAATAAGCTCATGTTATGTCATTCAAAATCACTGTAGATAATGGAAAATGAAACTGATATCTGCTGATAGAGTGTGCACCCTGAAAGCCCTTCTCACATTAAAGGAGATCACAGGCAGATGGCAGCAAGTTTCCACAGCAGACCTCCTGCTCACGCTCTGCTGGTTTAACGTGGTGCCACAGATCCTCACACAGATGTTCTCTGGGATAATTCAGACTGAGAAAAAACAAACTACAAAACAAACTTGACTTCCTGACCATATTTCATGGTTTGCTACTATTGTTATCAGACCAAAGCTTTAATTCAATTCAGTTCAATTCAAATTCAAATATACTTTATTAATCCCAAAGGGAAATTAAGTGTTGTCATAGCTCATCATCCTAGTTTCATTCAATAGTTGTTGTAGATGCTGATAGCTGTGGGCAGGAAGGATCTCCTGCAAAGAATCTGGCCACAGATACCAATCCATCTACCAGCTTGCTTTCAGATCCTCTCGGTCCTCCTGGGCATCAGGACTACCCGAATGCTGGGCAGAATTCCTCCCTGAGCGAGGGTCACTCCTCCCAACAGTTTGCCGAGCTCCTCGTTGCCACCGACAGACAGCTGAAGGTGCTGGGGGATGCTCCCGGTCCTCCCGTTGTCAAGAGCTGAGTTTTCAACCAGTTCCAGGATCTCGGCGGTCAGGTACTCAAGCACCGCCACGATGTTGACAGGAATTCATCCATGATGCCTCCTTTTCAACTCATTTGGGATTTAGGGCTGTAGTTGAGATATTTAAGCTTTGAGATGTTAATCAGCATTTACATTTTTGTTCTAATTTTTTTCTCATTTTTGATCTTTAAAGCACAAATATGAAAAACACACAAAGTATTTTAGCAAAAAAAACTTTACTAATTTAAAAAAGCAAAACCATAGCAAAAGTTTCAAAAGTATAATAGAACATAAAGTCAAATAAATACTTCATGTTGGAGCTTCCAGATTCTTTCAGCTGCACAAACATGCTGGGCACACAAACACACACACACACACACACACACAC